TGAATGCCCACTAATGCTTAAACTTTTATGATTTGCTAAGTAACACTGATACAATTTAAAAAATTAGAACATTGGTTGGTGATGGTGGCATCTCATCAGGGACTGTTGGGTAGTCACTTTCTCCTGATCACAGTGGCTGGAATGACCAGATCTTCTTCTCTGAAAAGCCATTTCCCTAACTGAATACTTGGGATTGGTCTGTGGAGGACTTACTTAGGGACCCAGACCCAGGGAAATATGGTATTTTGCATGTTTGCTTAGATTTGTTTTATTTAGGCCCATGATCTGTGTCCTTCAAATTAGCAAATATATTTACTAATTTGCATGTTAGTCTTATATATCCAAATGGGAGAAAACTTACAGTACTTGAAAATAGATAATCTTAAAAGCTGTTTAGTGCCATGGAGGTCATCTATCTGATCCAATTCTCTGATTTTACAGAGGGAGAAACTAAGGCTCATAAACTGGAGACAGCTGACTGAGGTCATGCAGCTAACTAGTAAGAGAGCTGGATTTCAAACTCAGCACTATTAACTCCTTAGTCCAGTGCACTTTTCATTATAATAATGCATATCTTCATTTATTGTTTTTTGGAAAGGGGAAAGGGTGGAAAGAAAGAAAAAGGAACAACAGCTGGAAAAATACACAATTTTACTATTTCTGACCTCTGGTCAGGCATTACAGGTATAGAGTAAACATTTCTCTATCCTTCACTTTTGATTCCCCAAGGACGGCACCTATGAAACATGCATGTCTGAATTTTTTAGATTGCATCACACCCATTGCAAAAACTCTTGCAAGCCGTTATTATAGCCTTACTAAAAGAAACACAGAACTTAGTTATTTGGCCCAAAGCCTGTTCATTCACCAGTGAAAAAAAAAACAAAGCAGGGATGAAAGCAGGCACCCTATACAAGTGGGTTGAAATCCAGGATGTTAATAAATCAATGTTATAATCTATGTCTAATATACATAGTTTAAATAAATTATGCTTTAATAATTTAGCTCTGGGAAGCTAAATATTATAGCATGGTATAAACTATATAGGTACACTGAACTACCATTATAATGCTTTCAGTCTTCAAACTGAGGCACATTACTAGAGACTTGTCATAAGGGAAGAAACGTTCGTGACTGCAGTCTATGAGAGAATGGACTTTTGAGGAATCTTGTGTAAGAGCATGTTTGATGTTGCAAAATACATATTTTAACATTACTGTGCTTTATCACAATAAAGATTTTATCAAAATTTAGAAGGAAAGAGAGCTTTGCACTTGTCTACTACCTGCTACCCCAAACACCATGCTAGATATTTTTCTTAGATTATCTAATTTAATCTTCACAAGGCTGGAATAAGATTACCATCTTATTTTTTATGGACTGGGAAACTAAGAATCAAAGAAATTAGGTGGTTTATTTAAGATCACATGGTCTATTACACACAGACCTAAGACTTGAACCCAAGAGTGATTCTAAAGCCACCAGACTTTCCTTTGTACAATGTCACCATCACTCTAGAGATTTAGAGAAAAACTGTTCTTTGGTTTCCCAGAAATTTCCTTAGCAAATCAAGTCACTCACTCACTACTTCTCCACCGTGCGTCTACAACTGTGCTGGGTTCAATTCATCCATCTGCCCAAGACCCAATCTATCACCAAGTAGATACTAAGTGTCTGTGGTGTCCCAGGCATTATGAGAGGCACTATGGACCCAATGATGAGTGAAAAGGAGGACCGCGTGGCATAAAAAAGAGCTGTTAATTAAACAGTCATAAACATAAATGTAAAATTACAACTGTATTAATGACTATGATGATTAAGAGTTAATAGCTCTGGGTCTGAAATTTAACCTGGTACCACTGTAGTGCCTGATGGTGGTCTCTGACTCAGTCTGGAGGGTCATGGAAGGTTTCTCTGGGGAAATGACGACTGAGTAGAGACTTGGAGAAACAGAAAAATTACTTAGGTAAAGAAGATTGCTCTAGACTCAGGGAACATAGTGTGCAAAGATACTATGATGAAAGAAAGCAGTGCCTGTCTGAAAACATGGAAGGGTGATGTGAATGTAGCAGAAACAGCAAAGGGGAGCAGCACAGTACACCAGGCAAGAGAGGCCGGAGCAGCCTGAGGATACTGGGGCCTAGCTAGAGGACAAAGGAAGGATTCTAACTTCAGTACTAAAAGCAATGGGAGGCCACTGAATGGTTTTAAGAGGGGAGATGACATGACCAGATTCACATTTTCTAAAAGCCTACACTGAAGTGGGGAGAACTGACTCACAGGAGGAAAGAGTGGACACAGGAGCAGTCAGGAAGCCACTGAAATACACCAGGCAAGAGATGATGGTATCTTAATCTAAAAAGGTAAAAGTGGAAATGAGGAAAAGTGGATGGATTTGAGATTTATTTAGAAGTATAAAAATGACAACTTTGTAACAGCTTGAATATGGGAAGTGAGGAAGATTTCAAAGATGAGGCTAGTATATGGCTTGCACAATTAGATGGACAGGGGACACTGAAAGAAGATCAAATTTGGCAGGAGGAGGGGAGAAGAGTAGAAGTCATGGGTCAGTTTTATATTTGCTGAGACGCCTTTGAGATATATAAATGGCAGTGAGAGCTCAGAGCAGAAGTATGGATTAGAGACAGGATTGTCTCTGAGTTGTCTGCAAATAAATATTAAGCAGTGAGTACAGATGAAATCACCTGAGGAAAGAAAAGACCTATTATAGAGCCTTGAGGAATCCCAATCCCACTGGATCGATAGAAGAGGACAAATGTATATAAGAGACTGAGAAAGAATAAACCACGAGAACAGAATGCAGTGTCACAGGAGCCAAGGGAGAAGAAAGTTTTCAAAATAAGAAAGTCATCAGTGCTGAGTAATACCAAGAGCTAAAGTAAAAGTTAAGACTTTTAAAGTCTACTGGATTTAATAACATGACAGTTATTACTGACCCTAGAAAAAGCTGCTTTAGTGGTATGATGGGTGGAAGTCACAATAGAGGGAATGAGATGTGAGCAGTAGAAGCCATGGTGGCTATAAAAAACTTATTCCCATCCTGAAGGAGAGTTTCATTTGAGAAAGCAAAACCAATACAGAGTACACAACACAGACACAATGCTACCAGTTTTACTTTCTTTACATGCTACAGAAATCCAAAAGAGGAAAGCTCAAGGTGGCTGGGTAGCCCAGGAAAGCCTATAAAGTGGCAGAGTTATTAATTAAAAAGCTTTTAATTAATTGATTGATTTTTAAATCACTGAAGTATAGCTGACATACAATGTATTCGTTTCAGGTGGACAACAGTGACTCAACAGTTCTATACATCACTCAATGCTCACTGCAACAAGAGTAGTCACCAGCTGTCACCATGCCACACAATTAACATAGAGAGAAGGAGTATTTAAGAAGTGCAAAACTGAATGTCTGAGAAGTGCCGTCAGGAAATTACATGCCAACACTACCCGGTGTGTGCATGTGGCGGGCAGGGGATGAGGGAGTGGAAGCAGTATGGGATAGAGGGATAAAAAAGCCAAGGCATTTGGACACAGCTGTGTTTTGTGATACAGGGTCAATACTGAATATTTTAGGATTGGATAATCTATGTCCTAGTCTCTCCTATTTTTGGGGGCTAACTTTTCAGCCAATTCTTTTCTCATAATCAGTTATACCAGAGGTTGGTAGGGAGAAGAGAAAATAAGAATCATAAATCAACTGTGCACTCACTGGTTTTGGATAACATTGTATGAAAAGGTGGGATGCGTAATCAATGTAACTTTATGACTTTGAGGTAGAATGACCGTGGAAAAGAAGAAAGACTTCAGAGCCAGAGGGTGTCAGGTCTGATCACCAAGGCTGTCATTCACTACCTATGCAGGCTTGGGGAGGCAATCCATGTGTCTGAACCCCAGCTTCTCATCTGTAAAATGGGAGAAACAGGAAGTTTCTTGGCAAGTTAGAGATGAGATGTAGTGTTGCCTTACAGGAATCTATTAATTGATGGCTAATGCTGTTTTAGTAATACCATAACATATAGAGAAAACAGGTAATATATTCAAAGAGAGAACCTTGTATTCCTAAGATGAAGGCATTTTATTCCCTCGTGGGCCCTGATCTAATTTTTCTATTGGTATTCATCCAGAGACAAGTGAAAAGCACCAGATGGCAAAGTTTAGGTCTTGGGACCTTTTGTGAGTTAAACATATTTGTCTCCCAGACTTTTTACCATTAATGATATTAAGTATTTAACTATTCAGTAAGTATTTAAGGATTAAAATATATTCTTATTTTATAGTATGAATAATTTTGTAGGAGTGGGAAGAAGAAACAAAAAAAGAAAAAAAGGAAAAAGTAAACTAGAAGAATAAGAAAGCGATGTATGTTAAGGGTGCAAAAAAGGACAGAGCATAGGAGCGGCAAAAGCAGAGAAAGAGACAGGAACAAGACAGACAAAGAGAGATTCAGAAGAGAAGGGCCAGGAGAATGCGCCCAGCTCTCACGGATCCCTTGGGACTCAGCCTCCCAACTGCTCTGTGGCAGCCGAGCCAGAGCACTGTGCGCCTCCTGCTCAGCCAAGCAAGCTCTCTCCCTGCCTCATCACACCTCTGCTTTCCTTTCTTGCTGCATCCCGCTGCCCCTCAGTCTCCTTATCAGTATTTCACTTGACAGCAGACCTGGCATTGTTCAACAGTGCTCTGGGCCACTTCATCTCAATTACTTAAAAAACAAAAGAAAACAAAAACACATTTACATGTGCATCTGCTAACCTAAGAAGGATCCGATGTGACAGAAATGAGGAAATATGTTTATAGAACAATGAGATCTTCTTTAGGAACACTTTTTTAGAGGTGCCTTTGAGGAATTTTATTACTTTAAGAGATGTAAAGAGTGATGGCTGTAATTCTGTAAAATATACCAGAAGATAAATGAAATTAAGTCAAGGGAAAAACCCAGACTCTGAGATGACCAACCCTGATTTATTTAGTGATTTTTCTTACTGTGTGCTGAGGGCCATCTTCATTATCCCTCATGTAGAAAGGCTTGAGTGCTAATGGATAATTAATGACGAAGACTGGTATGTTGCCACAGTGTTTCACCAGGTACTTTTCATGTTCAGTTTGCAGATCAACACCCCACTGTAATGAGAAAAAAGAACTTATCAAAGGAGAAGACAGAGCTGAAATACACAATGCAGTACCCGAAAATAACCTGTATCAGTTCCAAGGGCTTCCTCTGAGGATCAGTGATGTGTAGAGCTGTCTGCTGAGGTTACACAGATAAGTGAACCAGAGAGGTGTGTTATGAGAACATCCGAAGGCTTGGAGGGATGAAAACTGAAACCAGTACATAAAGACTATACTTTCTGTCCCCCATCTTGGGGAGTGGCATTTAGTAGATGAATAGCATCTGCAAGAAAATAAAGCACACTTCTCACAGTGTGTAAAAACGGACTTCAGAATCATGGCTTTTATTAATATTGCCTAGAGCTTCTTCTATGGTTACTGTTCCTATGTCACAGGAAATTAAATGATGAAAGATAATATTCTTAATATTCTGTCTTTCTCTGGCTAGATGGCTTATCTCAGTGAATTTTTTTTAATAAAAGAGTCAATTCACATATCAGTTGCTCTGGTGAATATTTAATAACACTGTTTATCTTTTCATTCAACAAATACTAATGTGCCTATTTAAATCCCAGTACCATGCTAAATACTGAATAGAGTGGTGAGAAAAATAGAGTCCCCGACTTCAAGAAGCTTCCAGGGTAGGAGACAAATATTAAATAAAAAATTATACAAATTAACTGATTATAAATATAACAAGCATAACTACTATAACTCCTAAGAGAATCTGACTTAACTGGGGATAGAAACAGTGTATGGAATACTTTGAAGACAGAGTTATTACAGTAATTCTTAACATTATATTATTCCTGCTTGTCTGCGAATACCTTAATTATAGAAAAGAAGCTCTGGCATAGGAATAAGGACTCGCCTCTCACAATATGCGCATGCCCACTGATAAATCATGTGGCCTTTCTGAACACATTACCATTCTCTTAAAGGATTTTCATCTTCCCAAATGTGGGAAACTTCTTTAGAATCCTTTAGTCACAACAATTATAAAGGATATGATTCTACTTCAAAATTATTATTTATTCTAAATATTTCACAAGGTTAAGCAAACATCAAAAAAAGCTATCTAAAGATGAACAAATACTAAACACTGCTAGTAAAAGAAATAAGATTATTTTAAAAAATTCTTTTTTTTAAAGTAAGCTCTATGCTCAACATAGAGTTTGAACTCATGACCCTGAGATTAAGGGCTGCATGCTCTACTGACTGAGCCAGCCAGGTGTCCCAGTAGTCTTAACGATATATGATAAGGGCAAGAGCAGAGGAAGATATGTATAAATACTAATATAAAGGTAAATAAAAATACTACCTCTGGGGTGAAGGTGAAGTTCTGAGATGCCTGCTTTAAGATCTCTACTGCTTCAGTATAAGAAATGCTGGAAAGGAAAAGGATAAAAGCAGAGAAAAGTCAATACAATGGTATACTGTTAATTAGTCCATCTGAAAAACCACAAAGGTCCTACTCCCATATAATCTTTGAGATCACAAATGAGTACTAAGTGGTTATTGAGTAATCAGGAATGATTAAACTAAATCATCATTGAGTAATCAGGAATTAAAGCTGATCTAATCATAGAAGAGTCTGATCAGTATGAAGAGAAACAGTCATTCAATAATCCTATTCCTGATCTACTTGCAGTGTACACAGAGGAACTAGTCATTTAAACAAGTAAAGATTTTCTCTGAATTTATGCTATGCCAATGCCTTAATAAAAGGTATGAAATATAGAGGATGAAAGAGCAAACATTTTTCCATAGTCATCATTCATTCACTCATTCATTCATTCAATATACATTTAATGAGAACGTACTATGTGCTAGGCATTATTCTAGGCACTGGAGGAACAGTAAATAAAAACAAAGCCTTTATAGAGCAGATATTCATATGTGTATGTGCACGCGCACATGCGGGTACACGTGTGTGTGTGTGTGTGTGTGTGTGTGTGTGTGGTTTGTGGTGAGTGACGGGGATGGAGGGTGGGGAGAAAGATAAACAAACAAACAGAAAGAATATAATGCCAGGGCTCTATTGGTGCTATGAAGAAAAATAAAGCAAGGTAAGAAGACAAAGGATGTTTGGAGGTGCTATTTTATCTTATTAAACAACATTTTTTTAATGTTATCTATTTTTGAGAGAGAGAAAGAGACAGACAGAATGCGAGCAGGGGAGGGGCAGAGAGTGAAGGAGACACAGAATCTGAAGCAGGCTCCAGAGTCTGAGCTATCAGCAGAGAGCCTGATGAGGCTCAAACTCAGGAACCATGAGATCATGACCTGAGCCGAAGTTGGACACTTAACCAACTAAGCTACCCAGATGCCTCTTGGGGGAGCTATTTTAGATAAGATGGCCAAGAAAAGACTCACTGAATTGGGGACCTGCATGACATAAGGAAATGAACCATACAAATATCTGAGGGGAAGTATTCCACGCAAAAGGAACAGTAAGTACAAAGGCCTTAAGTGAAGGAACAGTTTGGCTCATTCAAGGATCAAAAAGGTCAGTGTGCCTGTAGAATACTAAACAAGGGGAGGAATGTCAGGAAATTAGATAGGAAAGATAGTCAGAGGTCAGATCTTATGGAGTCTTTCAGGCCATAGTCAGGGCTTTGTAATATATAGTAAGAACTGTAAGATTCTTTAGGAAAAAATATCATTAGTTAACCTCAGTAAGAAACTCTCAGGTCTAAAGCAAGTCAAGCCAATCATGTTTTAATTTAACTTAATAGGTAATATATGAACATAGTAAAAAAAAAAAAAATTCAGTATGTACAAAAGAATGTACATCTCCTGTTCCATAGCCACCTGGCTCCTCTCCTGACATACAAACACTTTTGCTGGTTTCTTGTGTATCTTTCCACAGGGCTTTATATATCTATAAGCAAATATTAATACACAATCTTATTTAACAGAAGGCAGCCACAGTATACATGCCATAACACTCTTTTTTTTCTCAATCATATACCATGCAGATCTTTCCACATCTGTATATAAAGAAAGAGCTTCTTCATTTTTTAGAATTATTACATAATATTCCATTTTGTGGCTGTATCCCAGTTCATTTAGCTACTAATCTATTGATGGACATTTCAGCTGTTCCTAATCTTTTGCTATTAGAAATCATGAGCACATACATCAATTACAAATGATTCTACATTAATTCTATATTAATTTTGCATATGGAAAAAATGGAATTGTTGGATCAAAGTGTATTTACATTTACAGTTTTTATATATTTTGATACTCCCCAAGATACTGCTTCCCCTTTATAGTGTTCTACCAATTTAGGCCTAACTAATAAACAAAAATGTCAGTTTCCCTATGCCGTTTGTAACAGTACTTTGGACAATTAAAAACAAAATTCTACAGGGGCGCCTAGGTGGCTCAGTCGGTTGGGCATCTGACTTCGGCTCAGGTCATGATCTCACCGCTTGTGGGTTCGAGTCCCACGTTGGGCTCTGTGCTGACAGCTAGCTCAGAGCCTGAATCCTGCTTCAGATTCTATGTCTCCCTCTCTCTCTGACCCTCCCCTGCTCATGCTGTCTCTGTCTCTCAGTAATAAATAAAACATTAAAAAAAAATTAAAAAAACCAAAAAACCAAAATTCTACAATAAGACATCACAAAACCTCTCCCCAAACCCCAAGACAAACCAAACAAAACCCCCAAATCCACAAATTTTATGAAGGACCTTGAGGTCAAAAAGTAACTTACTCAACACAAACTTACTCACTGAACGAAAAATGAAGATCATACCTCTCTAGTAACTAACTAGAAAGAGTTGTGTATAGAGCACAAATAAAGCTTCCAAAGCTGTTTTGAGTGATTTTTCCAAGATGAAAACTTCATTCAAGTTAAAATCTAGTATTACATAATAAGTAATGTCTAAGGTGAAAATGGCGATGGTGTTGGTGGTAGTAATAATTTTTAAACGAGTATTTTACAGAAGGGAAAGAGAAGGTTAGAGGAGACAGTAACTTGCCAAAAATCACCCATGCAAATAAGTAGTAAGGCTAATGTGCTGACTCCAGAGCCTAAACTTGTAACTGCTAAGATAATGCCTAAAACACTGGGGAGTTTAATTATGCTCAATCAAAACAAACACCATGGGCTCGGAGTTCTCCCTCTGACTCTACCACTTACTGGCTACTATGTAAATTGCTTTACCTTAATGAAAACATTTTATACATTTTTGTAATGTTGTATACAACCAGTAAAAACATTAAATATTTGTACTTATAAAATAAGGGTATTGGACTAGATTGTCTAAAATTCTTTCCTGCTTAGACATTCTCCTCTATTCCACCAATTACTTGAGATGATCTACTCCTTATACTGAGAAATAAAAAAGCAGTCCAATGGGAAGCACCGGGATTTGGTGCCAGTGCTATGTTACTGCTACCTTACTTCACAAAATGACTCTATGTGTAAGTATCTCTATTCTGGATCTTCTGCCCCAATCCCCCCACACCTTAAGCTGAGGCACAGCTTTTCAGTTCAAATTACAGTTCTGACACTGGATATCCTTAATGGCTTTTATCAACTCTCTCTAGTAATTTTTTTTGTATACAGAGAATAATATTTCTTCTTCCCAAAAGCTATTTCTAAAGTACTTTGAGGAAAGAAGGAACAGACACACTGATATTGTATGATGCAGTATCAAACTACCTTCATATTTAAAGTTTTTATTGATGAATGAAGAAAATTATTCTGAAGCTGTTGGGAATAAAACTGCTAAGAGAAAATTATTAGCATTCTTTGACTCAAATTCACAGATAACGAAGAGCAAAAGATGGTAAGTACTATATATTTAAAAATCCTTATTGCTATGAACGAAGCTTAAAATAAATGAATTCTATTTCTTCTTGGTAAAGGCTAAATTCAATTACTACACAAGACCTTTAAATAATGTATCTTCTTTTTTTTAATTTTTATATGTTTTTTTTAATGGTTTTTATTTATTTCTAGGAGAGAGAGAGAGACAGCGTGAGCAGGGGAGGGTCAGAGAGAGAGGGAGTCACAGACTCTGAAACAGGCTCCAGGCTCTGAGCTGGCAGTCAGCACAGAGCCCGACGCGGGGCTCGAACCCACAAACCGCGAGATCATGACCTAAGCAAAAGTCGGACGCTTAACCGACAAAGCCACCCAGGCGCCCCTAAATAATGTATCTTCTTAGAAAACAACTCTAACAAGTAACCAAAAATACAATGAAATCGATTTATGCATAAGAACACAAGTCACACGGTATTTTGTGTGTGTGTGCGTGCGCGCGCGCGCACGCGCGTGTGCGTGCATGAGTATGTGTACTTTGGGGAGTGTCTTGATTCTAATTCATCATGCTTAGGTCTACTCTCATGTCCTTTCATGGCTGTTAAAATCCCTGGTTTCAAAGGCTAGCAACATCCCCTACATTTAGCATACACTCCACCTTGAGAAACCTCTACATCATGTCATTTATGTATACCCCTCTGGTGTTCAGTTTTCTTTTCATTTCTAGCTCCTGGAACTTCTCTTACTTTCTAGTGAACCCAATAATGTCTTAACAATTTTTTAAATAAATTTTAATAAGCACTTTTAGATGTTTTGTACCAGGAGTTATTATTTACATTATCTAGTCTAGCACACTGTTTAAGCAGTATGGTAATTTGATCCTTTAAACAATATGATAGACAAGTTACTAATTTTTTTTTTTTATAAGTTTATCTATTTATTTTGAGAAAGAGAGAGGGTGAGTGAGGGAGCAGAGAAAGAATCCCTAGCAGGTCCCATAGTGTCAGCACGGAGACTGAGGTGGGGCTTGAACCCAAGAACTGTGAGATCACAGCTAAAACCAAGAGTTGGATGCTCCACGGACTGAGCCACCCAGGTACATTGACAAGTTATTACTTTACAGAAGAGGGAACGGAAGTTCAAAAAGGTTAAAGATTTACTATTAATCAAATTCATAGCTGTAATTAAATAATCATTCATGCAAATAGTTAATCATTCATCATTTTCTCTAGATTTTAAATTCTCTAAAAGGACCAATCGTTGCCTGTATTCACTACTGAATCATTACTGACTAGCAAAGTGCCTAACTCATAGCAGGCAGCCAATAAATATTTGTTGAAAAATACTAACACATTCACTAATGGCTGATAACAAGTATAGCCAGAATTAGAATCCAGGTCCTCTGAGCCATAGAGCTTATTGCGTTCACAGCCCAGAGTAAACAGTGATATGTGTTAACAAGAAAAAAACCTCAGGGAGAGGACCCTAGCCTAAAAAAGAATATTCTCAACCTCACTGCTGCTCAAATGCCATTTACTCATTCATTCAGTTATTCAATATTTACTGAGTTCCTGTTAGAGGCACTAAGCAAGCGGGGGTGGGAGGGGGGT